CTAATTAGGGATTCAATTTCTGTCGGTTATTGGATATTTGGGTAGGCTTATGTTTTATATATATATATATATTAAGGACTGGGCCAAGAAAAATGGCCCAATCCAACCAATTAAAAAAAAAAAGATAAGAGGAATGGGCCTCTTTTGCCCAATGTGAAAACAAATAAAATGATGGGCTGGATTCTTGAGCCCAATGTCAAAACAAATAAAAAAAGAAATGAAAGCAAGCCTTAGCCCACTTTGAAAACAAGGGAAAAAAATAAAAAAAAACAAACAAAACCTTACCTGGAGAAGACGAACCAGAGGTAGAAGAAACCACAGGTCCACAGCACCTGCCGGCGCCGGTCAGTTCGACAGAGCCCAGCACGGGCGGCCGCCCCTCGTCGCCGGGTGCTGGGTCTGTCTCTGGCTACAATGTGATTTGGACTTACACGTCTCTATGTTTCGCTCCACTATGATACTCAAAAAGGAGGTGCACCATATTACACATGCATATTGCCTAAAGTACTTTTATAACACTTCCAAAATTTGGACTCGGGGACTCCTTCTCGGAATCCCCATCAACCTTACCCCGAAGGTAGGTTTGCGGTCAAGAGTTATATTAAGCCCCTCTTTGAGCCACATTATTTTTCTCATTCTCATTTTTCTCCTCATTTTCAACCACACATTTTTCAATAAAATAATATTTCCTATCACATCATAAATTTTCCTTCTTTTTCAACCACATATTCCCCATCACATCAACAGTAAAAATGCATTCTTACTCCCAAAATGTGCATCAAACAGGAGCTAAATTGTAGACATCCAACAACAAAAACCTAAATATTTCCATAGGAAATGACTTATCACATAAAAAGTGGAGAAAAAATGTATTAGAATTGGAACATAATATTAGTAAAAAGAACTCTAAATTTGGCATACCTCAGGAGATATAGAACCTTGGTCATTAAACATATATCGGTAATACGAGGTCGTGTAATTGTAGGACGGTCCTACTTCTTCCAACCCTGCATCATCTGCCCTGTTTGCGACAAGTGCCATGAAACAAATGTTTTCATTTATAGGTAATATATTTGCTTCAAACAAAACAATCATGGTATTACATCATCTATATGGAACAAGGCAATACCAGGTCGGGTAATTGTAGGACGGTTCTACTTCTTCCAACCGTGTATCATCTCTCCTGTTTGCGACAAGTGCCATGAAACAAATGTTTTCATTTATAGGTATTATATTTGCTTCAAACAAAACAATCATGGTATTACATCATCTATATGGAATAAAGCAATACGATAGGAATGCGCAAGCCAGATATTAATTAACTATAATTAATGGAATAGATGGATATGACATCCCAAAACATGAATAAACCCAGTTCTTGTTCACAAATTAGACTCGCAGACAAGTATTATTATTCCACTCGACTAATAAGAAATTCCTTACCGCAACTTTTGGAATTAACTAAAAAGATCTTTTTTGATGAATCTTGACAATGCAAGTGCATATAGACCATAACTTTGAAGATAAATAAATCAAACCTTAAATCCTCACTAGTGATGGCTCCCACAAAGAGTGAGGTATCAAACTCACGAATCCTCAACTCTTCCATGATTGTTGATGCCGGCAATGGAGAATCACAAATAATCACCATCTTAATACCATAATTTGCCAACCTCTCTACTGTTATGCGCAGACATAGAACACGTTATGTACAACATTGTAGCTAGCTAATGTTGAAACACTTGAGTTGCAACCCAAACAAATTGTGAAGAACAGAAACAAACAAACTTAAAAAGAGAAGGGTAACAGATGAAACATACATGCCCACATGGCATCCGGGAGTGGTCTTCCTCCATTGTGTAGAAAACAACTAGGATCCAAAAACCATGCCTGTGAAAAATTGAAATACAACGAATAATTTTATTTAAAAAAAGGCGTTCAACTTACTAAAATGCTAGCCAA